CACATCACTGATCAACTATCTAATAAGTTTATGCTTATCAGACAGTTGACTAGTCGCTTATAACCCTAGACCAACAAGTCAGAATCACCAATCAGAGACTCCAAGATCTACCAGTAGATCCCAGTCTACTGGTTGGTGACCAATGAGCTGAAGTATTTTTATCTTGTGCTCTACACAATCTGCACCAGGACTGGGCAAGATGTGTCAGAGGGCCGGATCTGGCCTGCCTAACACTTTGATAAGGCCCACAGACTGCATCTGGCTACTTTCTATTTATATCCTTCAGCCCATGATGCCAAATATCCAGGCAGTGGCTCAGGCAGAAGGAACCTATTTATATGGCTCGTGGCTCCTAAGCATAGCACTACCCCAGCAGGGGTCAGAGCCACAAGCCCTTTAAATAGCTGCAGCAACTGGGGGTGGCTGGCAGGCAATGCAGTAGCGGTAGGGCCAGGAACCACGAGCCCTCTGCTGTGTTTTAAATTCAAAGCCTCCAGCCCCAGACAACTCTGGGGTGAGGCTAGTCTTCAGGCCTCGCCCATTTCAGGGGTGGAGCCAGCCCATGACCATGTACCAAAATTCATTAAATGGCCTCCCTGCAAAAATTACTGCCCACCCCGATCTGCACTTTCATCGGCCATTAAGAGTTCTTCTGTCTAGATGTCCATTTAACAAGCTGTTTTCTTCTTAATATAAGCGGAAAGTGTGTGATAAAAGGCAACTTTGCATTTAGATGTTGAAATCAGACCATTTCATATAAATATTTTAGACTATGAGACGTCAAGTTCCACTGCATCTGTGTCTTTAAAAACTACATGAAAGGAGAATTTATGGAATTAACTTCATCACAACATTCCAAAAGAAAAGATGGTGCCCACAAATGTAAAGAAATCAGGAATTGTACCAAGCAATGACAGAAGTCTCACTTCCTTCACTGATGATAAAATGGTCCTGATGAAGAACACCACATTTTAATATTCCTTTCCATGGTCTATGTTAGAGTAACACAACATTGCTGTATAGAATTTCAGTTCTCTCAGGGGCTGAAATCACCACTGAGATGTATATGCTAGGTTGTGTGGCACTTCTTTGATAACACTGGCTCACCAAATTAAGTCACTGAACAATAAGGGGAAAAGAGACAGACTGACAAAGATAAGCATTTCCTCAACTGATACAGATTTTTATTTTAAGGGATACACTTCAATTACCCATCTAATTTTTTGTCTGATCTTCCATATCTGAATATTAAGAAGTTCATATTCTGTAAAACTGACCACATATGTATGTTATTTGGATAGTCTGCATTACAGAACTAACAGCTTTACTCAAGAACTTCAGAATTTATGCCTTCAAAAAGTTGTGCATGCTTTCTGTGCTTGAAAAATGTAAACTACAGCATAAGGAGCAAGTTTGCCTGCTTCCCCTACAGAGAATGCTGGACAATTACCTTTCATTGGTCATAGATTGTTACCAGCTGCTTCCATCTATCTCATTCCCCCTCCTTCTACATATGGCCAGGCTCCCCCCCCCCCCCCTTCTCACCCCATGCCAAAGCAAACAGCATTTCAGACAATTATCAACTTCTCCCAAAAGATTTGCTATGAATGTACAGAAACATGGCCTTCCTTCCCTCACATGGAAGGCATAATTTCCTAAGATTATTTAAAGACAACTGGTATTTCAAGAAGCTGACTATGCCACACATGAAAAAAAATCTTATTTCTTCACTATGCTCCCCTTTTACTTTCATTTTTTAAAGGGCACAACTTTTCAGCAAATGGCAAATTTTTATGAAAATTTCTTACAAGGCTTACATGCTAAAACAGGGCTGGGCAAAATATGGCCCATGGGCTGCATCTGGCATGCCAAGCAGCTTGATTCAGCCCTCAGGCCAGCAGGGAGTCTGAGGCAGGCTCCCTGCCTGCCCCACTCCTGCACACGCTCAAAAAGCAACCACAGAGCCCTGTTTGTCTTTGAACAGCTATGAGCCTAGGGCAAAAGGTGTATGTGTGTGGGGGGAGGGAAGGAAAGAGGAGAGAGAATACAGGCTTCAGATGCCGCCTCTGCTTCCAGCACAATCCCATTGGCCAAAAGCCAATTAAAATTCAACAATTTACATAATTACTGCAAAAAGGCCTACCATGATCCAAGTGTTTACTGATTATTTTAACAGCCTTACTACAATAGCCTTTTCTAGATTGTTGTACTGTAATCTTGTTTTTTCCTAAGTATTTCATTTATTTTTCTCTGTAAAGACAAAACAGTAACAGCAGCCTTGAACTCTCTCAGTTTCTATCTCATGATATCTGCAAATATACAGCTTAAAAAGATATGGAAATCCCACAATGAAATTCCCTCAATATCCCAGGCTCCAATACAACTGCAATTTCAATGTTTCAAATTTCAGAATAATTACTTAACTGAACACATACACCCAAAAACAGTATTATGTGATTTGGTTATTCTAATAATCAAAGATTAATTTATCCCTACCATGTTTTCCTAATTCATTCTACTCTGGTATTAGAAATGGTTAACTTCAACTTTTTCTGTTCTCAAATAAGGAGATACAAATCTTAAGGGCATTTAAAAGCAATGCTTGAATTGCTAGAAACCCAGTATTTAACTTTTTTCAATCCTACTATGCTTTCAATCATAACTGAAGTTGTTTTAAGACTATGCAGAGGGAGGGTGAAAGGCTCACTTGGAGCCAGGCTGGCAAATTGAAAAGAACAGAAGAATTTCCATTAAGGCCAAAGGCAAATATTCTGTAACTGCTACCCTAATTCTTTAAAGAGAGCTAATGTAGTAGCTAATAGAGAAAGGATTGTTCTCATCCCTTTCCTTCTTCTCCCCATCCCACCAAAGGAGGAGGGGGAGAGAGTTCTTTAACGAACTATGAGCCTGCATGTACTGTTTTGCCTGTTATCATCTAAGTACTTTAATATAACTTCACTATGCCTTGCTACAGGTCTATACACAAACATTGGGACTTGTGCTTCCTCCACCACGCAGAAATCCTAAGTACAGTACTATTAAAGCCTTCATCTTAAGTGAGCTGTATGAAATGAGGGAGGAATCAGTTGAGTGAAGTAGACATACTTCAAACATTCACTTTTCTGAGTCAGTTTTGTATTCCAAAACTACCAACAATAGTTGGGGGTTTTCTCTGTTCTATACTTTGCAAACTAAAATCAAATTGACTGGTCTGAGAGGAAGAGAGAGGAATGAATGATTGCATCAGTTTTTGCTGGTTTTACTTACAACAACAGGAATGTACTGTAGGGAACAATCCAACATTTGCAGGGCATAGACTACATGATCTAATACAACTTTTCCATCTCTAACTTTTTAGAGCTGCACACACTGGTTCAAGTTCATAGAAAGGATATATGTATCCAACAGTACTGATAGAAAGGAGAACCAAAAAATGGTATTTTAAAGAAAGCCAATGTAGCAAACCATACACAAGAGCATACACTGAAAATAGAAAATGCTGTAATTATCTATGCACACATGAAACATCTGTAGACAAAGTATCGATTTTTTAAATTAAAATTGTATTGTTTGTTGCTGCTTTTTAAGCCATCTGGCCAATTTGCAGCCCTGAAGAATAGCTTCTAAAAACTGCTCATTGTATGTTTACCACTAATAACCAATATTAGCAAGAGCAAGCTGTTCCCTTAAAAAATGAACTTGGGTACCTAAGATGCAGAGCTCTGACCACCGCTTACACAGAATGACTAGGATCATCATGCTTTTTCCTCCAACTTCCTTCTTTTTGGGTAGATTTAAAAGAAAAAAAGTCATATCAATACTGAATAGGGATGTTAAGATGAGACTTCAGAAGGTTCTTTCAATCTCAGTCATCCTATATTAGAGGTTCAAGAGACATAACATACAGTGGGCATGGTTCATTTCTTATCTGTTGATTGGTCTTACTTTATTGCTTTAAGCAGTCTGCGCATTATTGAGATGACTCTGCATGCTCCCATGGCATGCTTTGATTTCTGGTTGTCAATCATTCCCAGAGCAGAGCACTTTACTGAAGTATTTTTTCCAACTTACTATGCTTTAGTTCAATATATTTATATGCAAAACACAATTTTCAGTGGAGGCAAGCCAATAAACAGCACAGCTTACTAGAATTTCAGTTGACTTTGTTAAAGGAAATTATTTTAAATTAATGTGGCTACTGAACTGTTGCCATACTTGACCTCAGAAAACATATTCCTTCTAATTTTTGCTGTGAACATTTATTTACTTAAGCTAAACTCGAGGACTTAAATGTTGACCATAAAGACATCTCAGATTTCCTGCAACTATTTAGTATTCTCTTTCTAAACAAGAGAAAACAACATACGTTTGCTGCATTATTCTATACTGCCAGAATACCACTATTAAATGAAATCATCTATTTTAGAATCATTTTTAACAACTTCCACCACTGACAGAAAGAGCGTTAGCTGAAACAAGGCTGTTTTGTTTTCACTGAGCAACAGTTCAATCACTGGTTTACTAGATGGCACTAAAAACATTTTTCCATATGCTCTTCTCAAAGAGAATCTGACTTAAATGTGGTTTACCTTTACCAGTGAATGAAGGCTTTTTTCACCAAACATATCCCCGAGGAAGGTCAGGTCTTCCTGGTTGTCCACATGTGGCTGCAGCTGGGCTGGCAATGCAGCCAGCAGCTCATACAGACCTATAAAATGAAAATAAAAAACAAAGTGTAATCTAAGGGTGATCTCATTAATTTCACTTAACAGTTCTGTGTAACTTGCTGCCTGGGGCATGTCATTTTAACTGGGTAGGGAGTTTAAGCTTAGGTTTTGCTGGATGCTCCAAAGAATCAAAGGGAACATTTTTAAGCAGATATTAACAATGTACTTCTTACTTTGTCACAGTGTCAAACTTTTATATCCATATGTATTTACATAAGACTATACAGAAAATTCATAAAGATTTTGAAGGACAAAACCTGAAAAAATACATTCCTGTGCTTAATGATTATTCCATTTACCTTGATGTTAGCCAAAGAGCGAAATGAGTCATGAATAGGAAAAACTTCCTTAAAAGAACAGAAACTGGAGAGGGTGGTCCGTTAAAAGGGGTTCATGGTTTCTCTAAATATTTCTTGCTAATATAATGCTTAATACATCTTTTTATCCTGCTTCCAACAGAGATTTACATCAAGACAAAAGAAACTGCATTGTTAGTTATGGAGTAGCCAGATTTTTCATACACCAACACATGCATGTGTAAGCTACATTTTAAAATTTTGAAGTATGCAAGTTTTATCCAAAATTGTCTAGAAGTGTTAAAGTAACTGCTGCTCCTAGGGCACACCTCTCTAGTGGTCTCCCAGTGGTAGACAGTAGCACAGTGTTCCACAGTAGCATACAGCATAAACTATCCATCATGCACACAGACCATCAAACTGCTGTCCAAGAAATGTAGCAACAGCGCTTGCAGCCGCGCTCTTTAGGGAGGTAACCTGGCATGAGTTGATATCAATTCATAGCACATGTTTAATTTTCCAGTGGGATTACTTGAGGTAAAAAGGACAAAATGCCTTTTTCTCCTGTCTGCTGTCTACAAAAACACCAGTAACCTCCTGGGATGCACTATACATGATCCTGGTATTATTTTTAGTTTGAGTAAGTGCTGCTGTTCCTCACAAGGACAGCTTTACAAGATATTTAACTAGTAAAGCACATTGTGGTAAATTATAGGTTGCCTATCATTATTATGCCTATTATCTCCCAAAAATATAGGATTTAAATATTTTATTAATCTGCATTGTTTCACAACCTTTTAAGGCATCATTTGTCTCTTCTAGAATTAAATATAGCACCTTTGGGATGTGATTATTTAACATTTCTCTCTCTTTTTGTTGGCTTTGAGCACAGTATTCTGGAAAAAATGTTCCTTCCAGTTACATTCTTTTCTGTGGTCCAAATGTTTTTAATGGTTGACATTCATTTCTCTCAAAATCTTGTTTTTACTTAAATCTGTTCCTGTTTATGCTTCAGAAATACTATAAAAAGAGGATATAACTCAACGCACTACAATTTTACACACATATAAAAAACAGAGCCTCAGCCAAGTACAGCCTAGTATCAGTGATTGTTACTAACACCCAAAGATCACAAGTTCAAAATAGGATGCTTGGCTCTTAGTCTCTGAATTAATAGAAGCTAGGCACCTGGTGTAAATGGATATGTGCAACACTATGTTTAAACATATACTTGGTTCTTATTTAAACGTATTCACACAAGTTTGATGTGGAGTCACTGTGATTATCAGCTGCACAAAGTTACGGTCATCATTCTGATGTGGAAAATAAGTACTTAATAGAAGAAAAAAATAAAACTAGAAAAGTAAAACCATTTAATTAGGCATTGACTGAATTCCTATTAAAGACTAAGATTTCCTACATACATGGATTTACACAGAGTTTTGTTTTTGCACACTTAATTCTCCAGCCAATTTTGTCATTACAATTACATGTATTCTTCACAGTACACAAGGGCTATGTGGACATTGCACTTTTTTTGTTAAAATTATTGTCACTCAAAGATGTGAAAAAATGCCCTACTGAATGACAAAAGTTTTAACAATGAAAAATGCTAGCGTGGACTGCACTTTGTCAGTGGAAGATGCTCTCCCACTGACAAAACTACTGCCCCTTTTTGAGACTGGTTTTATTTTATTGTCAGGAGAACTCTCTCCTGACGACAAAGAGTGGCTACAGCTACACTGAGTGTCTTACAGCGGCATGGTTTAAGAAGCATGGCTGTGTTGCTGCAGCCTGTACAATGTAGATATAGACTGGGATAGCCAACCCATTACAGGCAAAGAGCCAAAATACTTGTGCATATAGTGCAAAGAGCTGGGGGGCTGGGGAGTTGTCGAGAAAAAAAAAGGACTGCTCTTTTAAGAAGAACAGGTGAGCTGGGACCATTTTTAGGGGCAGCTTCACAAGCCGCACTTTCAGGGGAAGAAAGAGCCGCATGTGGCTTGCGAGCCACAGGTTGGCCACAGCTAACCTAGACTAAGACCTGTTTGTTTGAAAGTAGGAGTAGTAAATAGAAGACTTAGCTTTACTCTATTACACAATCACTGTTTAAAAACATATCATGGTTACCATTCAGAGGTAAGAAAATATTAACTTGGATTATTTCCTCTAAGTAAAGATACCGGCTGGAATAATTAGGGTTGCCAGGTACATGGGTGCAGGAAGCCATGTGCCTCAACACCTTGCCTTCATAGATGAGTGGGTCCAGAGACAAGGGACTGGGGAAGGGAGGCCTTGGCTGCCAGGGAGTCAAAACATATGCCCCTACAAACTCTATGAATTGCATGGACAACAGGGTCGACTTCTGAAGATTTAGCAAGAGACCCAAGTGGCTGAACATGGTCATGGTGAATTCTACATGAACCCTGACCACTGCTTCGGAGGGCCCCTTGACCAACCCAGTCATCCTGGTAAGGGAAGATCTGAATCCTTCTGAGACACAGGAATGCTGCCACCACTGCCATGTGCTTTGTAAAAATTCTCAGTGCTGCAGACAGGCCGAAAGGCAGCACCTGCAACTGACAGTGGGAACCACTAACCGTGAAACGAAGGAACTTCCTGTGAGCCAGAACTATGGCCACATAAAAGTAGGCATCCTTCAAATCAAGGGCAGTGTACCACTCTCCCGAATCCAGTGAAAGGATAATTGAGGTGAAGGACACCATATAGAATTTAAACTTTTTGAGATATCTTTAGACCACGTAGGTCCAAAATGGGACATAGTCCACCCTTGGCTTTTGGGATAAGGAAATAGCGGGAATAAAACCCTGTGCCCCTTAACTTTAGAAGGACCTCCTCTAATGCCCCTACATTGAAGGGTGACCGCACCTCATGTCCCAGGAATTGCTCATGAGAGGGATCCCTGTAGAGGGACAGGGCAGGGAAGTAAAAAAGTGGGGTAGTTGGAAATTGAATAAAATATCCCATCTTTACCATGTCTAGAACCCACCTGTCGGATGTGACTTGAGCCCAGGCATGGTAAAAATGGGATTAGCAGTCTCCAAACATAGGGGTAGACTCCAAGGGGTAGGCAGGTACATTGCCCTCGGGCGCACCTTCAAAAGTTCTTTTTAGAGCCTGGTGATTGCCTAGAGACTGCCCCTGGTTATTAGCACTCCCACTACTAGTCACACTCGCAGGACAATGGTGACTTTACCGGCTACCCTTTCTATTTTGGTCCTGTCTCTGACAGGGAGGATAATATCTAGGCAGCAGAGTTGGCCTGAAATGCCTCTGCTAAGTTTTAGGGGTGTGAACATAAGAACAGCAATAGTGGGTCGGACCAAAGGTCCATCTAGCCCAGTATTCTGTCTTCTGACAGTGGCTAATGCTAGATGCCCCAGAGGGAGTGAACAGAAACAGGTAATCATCAAGTGATACCTCTTCTGCCTTCATTTCCAGCCCCTGACAAACAGAGGCTAGGGATACTATTCCTAATCTATCTAATAAGTATTGATGGCCCTAACCTCCATGAATTTATCTAGTTCTTTTTTGAATGAACCCTGTTAAAGTTTTAATCTTCACAACATCCTCTGATAAGAAGTTCCACATGTTGACTGTGCACTGTGTGAAGAAACGTTTCCTTTTCTTTGTTTTTTACTCTTCTGGTGCACTTTCAGAAAGACTGTCTTTTTAAAAAGTTTTTTTATATAAATTTTTTTTTTGTCTTTTTGGTCTTTTCCCCTCTACACACACTGTGGGATTACTGGCTCTGTGCCCACCCGCACGCACACACACACTCACTCACTCTGAGGCTGTTACCTCCCTGGTTGTGGGGCTGCTGCCCTCCCCCAACTCTGGGGCTGCTGCCAAGGGCCTGGGAGCTGGAGTTGCCAGCACAAAGGCAGGTAAGGCCGCCTGAAGGAGTCCTTTTTTCTAAACTGAAAAATCCAAGTTTTTTTTAATCCCTCTTCAAGTGACACCTGTTCCAAACCCCTAATCATTTTTGTTGCCCTCTTCTGACCAGTGCCAGACTGATGTCAAGGTGAATGGTCCCGACTCTGTGAACTGTGCTGAGGTGAAAGCGCTGAAAGCTTGCCCTTTACCTGCACCAGGCCGGATACTAGAATCAGAGCCAGAGGGACCAAGGGAGACTCCCAGGAGGAAGCTGATAGGCCAAACGTTAGCTCAATCAGGTCACGAGCCACTTCATACAACTCAGGAGGGGATGGCATGTCCACATCTCCCATCTGGCTCTTCTGGGAAGGGGATTCCACTTGCACTGGACTCAACTGGACCAGAAAAGGCACCAGAGTAAACGGTGCTGTACAGGCAGGTTGCTTCAAAGGGTGTTCCAACTCAGAATGTGACTCTTTAAGCTTTCTAGCCCTTGAAATAGAGGACTGGCTCTTTTCCCACCTCCCTTTCTTTCTCTGCACCAGAGTGGGATCGGTGCCAGGAACTGAACTTCAGTGAACAGTGCTGGCATGTCTTGTCCAACATGATAGCAGTTTTCAAGTATCTAAAAGGGTGTTACAAGGAGAAGGAAGAAAAATTGTTCTCCTTCAGCTCTGATGATAGGACAAGAAGCAATGGGCTTAAACTGCAGCAAAGGAGGTTTAGGTTGGACATTAGGAAAAACGTCTTAACTGTAAGGGTTGACTATAATAGAGTTTAAAGAGAAG